AAAAATACGTATTTTACTAATTATAATTAGTAAAAAATTTAAGCGTTGCATTATTTTTGATTGCCACTGTATATAATAACTTTAATTATTATAATATTTAAAATTTAATTTTATTAATAAAATATAATAAAAATTTAATTTTTTTATATTAAAATTTATAATTTTATTAAATATTAAAATAAAATTTATAAGTCATAATTAATATATTTTTTCAAATTTTTTTGAAAGAATTATTCTATTTATAAAGTTATTTTAAAATTTTTTCTAATTAAACTTTATTTTTAATTAAGAAAAATTTTATAACTTTATAATCAGAATAATTCTATAAAAAAAAAATCTAAAAATATATATAATTTATAAATTTTATTTTAATATAAAAATAAAAATTATTTCTTAATAAAAATATAACTTTAATATAATAAAAAAACTAATTTTTTTATATATTATATATTTATATATTTTTAAATATATATTAAAATTAATCTAATTATATATTTAAAAAAATATATATTTAGAAAGAAAATAATATAAATATATCTAATTACTTATATAAAAATAATTAAGTTCAAAAATTATATATAATTTAATTATAAAAAAGAAATATTTATCTATATATTATTATAATTATAAAAATATTAAATTTTTATTTATAACTAAAGTTAAAATATTTATTATTTTTAAAAAATAAATTTTATCTCTTTTTATTATTATAATAAGAAAATTAATATATAAAAAATAATAATATAAAGATATTTATTAAAAAAATAAATAAATTTTTATGATATATAAATTTTTAAAGAGTAATTTTTTATAATTTTGAGTAAAATATTATAATCATAAAATTTTATATACTTAAAGACTTGGTAAAATTATAAAAATTTTCTCATATATTTATATACATGTATTTAAAAAATGTGTAACAATAAGTTTTATTATAAGATTAGCTTAATAATATGCACTCAGAGAAGATATACATTTAGAGAAGGTGTATTTAAAGAAGCATAACTGTATTTTATTAATAAAATTAACTTTTTGATGTTATAATTACTATACATTAATATAAATAATATTAAAATAAACAAAAGTTATCATTTATTATTATTTATTTTTACTTGATTATTTTCTTTTTTATTAATCATTTGTTATCACTTATCAAAAAAAATATAAATAAAATCTGTGTTAGAAATGGGCAAATACATAAAATTAACTATTATATATGTGATATTTAATATATAATTATTATGTGTATTAATAGTAATAATTATAAAAACAATTCTGATAATTCAGACAAACAAATCTCAAATAAATAACGAATGATATGAAATTTCGAAATCATAATAATTTTGGTATTCCAATGTATTTGGAATGTGAATATTTACAATTATTGCACACCATCTAATATGTAATTGTAGTCAAGGATATAAAACGACAATGTTAGGATTAAGATTCAAAATTCAAATCATATTTGAACGTAAAAAAGTTCAGTTCGAGTTCGGTTGAATCTTGAACCAGAATTGAATCTGGAGTAAAATCTGCTCAAAATTGAACTTAGAAACACTAGTGCCGGTCGAGAATAAAAGAAACCTACTGATAATAATAACTAAATGATATTTTTTATATTAATTGATAGAGATCTAGTTATGAAAATTTAAATAAGTGATAAGCGTGATGCCACCGACAAGTTAAGATTTTCGCCATCAGCACTGACATCAATATGACAAATGATTTGCAACCAATAATCATGCCACATGTGTCATACTGCATACCGATACTGTATGAATATTCCCTGTATGTTTTATTTCAGCTCATTTGTTTCTAAACAAAAAATAGTAACATGTCTCGAGGGTATCAACTAATTGTTCCAAAACGTCGTGAAGGACCGCGAGAGCTTGATGCGACAAAACTTGAATTTGGTGAAGGCTAGTGTCAATAACATAATTTGACTCAACAAGGAACCTCTGGAGTTAATCAAAGATTCCCACAGAATTTGTTAGGAATAACTGAAATTATATTAATATGCTATTCTTTATCGATTACATTTCCGATAAAAACCAATAGAATTTAATAATGTGCCATGTCTCTTCAACTCAGAAGTATGCCTTCTTTTAGAAAGACTAGATCATACGTGGAACAAGTCTGTATTCCTCTTATGCGTAGATAATGTTATTATTATGATTTAACAGTATTGAAAATTTATTTGTTTTTTTAGCTTATCCATGAAATTTATGGAACATTTGGGTAAAGCCCGAACAAATAAATTTAGAGATCGAGAATCTGCTGCCGCAATTAGACGGTAATTAACAAATTTAATAATTAGATATTTATTTATTCATCACGTTTATTTATCTCATGGCAATAATATAATAAGAGAGTTATCCCAACATCATAAATTGCACTCGTACGAACTCGCCCAGCTGTGTAATCTCTGTCCTGTAGAATTGGATGAGGCGAAAATGTTGATTCCATCGTAATTATGAATTCAATTTACTTCGTTTCATTAAATCAGTTCTTACAATAACTGAATTATGTGAATTTTTATTCCTTAGGCTAGCGGAAAAATATTCAAATGAGCAAATACGCGAAATGCTCGATCTGCTTAAACTTTATAAAATGAAGTGATATAAAATGCTGCGTTAATCATTCGGAAAAGAAAAATTATTTTAGGAGAAATATTAAGAATCGTTTAATTCCTTGTTATACTAATTCTTTTTTAAATCCCGGGCCTGTATTATTGGTTATAGTTGTTTGTTGAAAAATAATCACCCGAACAAAAAAGTTTCGAGAAATTGGAATTTTTTGTGTGTGGTTTTACGAGTGATAAACATGATAAACATGATAAACATGATTACATGTACACTCCCCGGTCAAAAGTGTCCGACCACTTTAAAACCGGATAAAAATGCACAAACTTCAACAATTAA